CCTTGGTAGAGATTTTCGTGTAAAGGTGGGAGATTCTGTAGCAGACAGATAAGGTATATTCGAAGAACCTGGAGGGGGGTGTGTGTGTCACATTTCCACGGTGTGTACCTGCAGGACCCGTCACAGTGGCAGGAATAGCCAGAAGTGTCAGACCAAGAACACACCCTCCACAGTATACATACGAGAGGCCAGCAACCGGATAAGATGAATGAAGCTTATAAGAAAGTTCTCACCTTCTGGGGAAACCTGGAGCGCTGGAAGCGGCCTCATCTGAGGAGAGGGGTTGGATGGCCCAGGGGGTGACCGAAAGGTCGGGAGACAATTTAAGGGAGCTTGGGGGAAGGAGAAGGTGGGAAGAAAACGCCAACGCGGCCCCTTTCCAGCCACAGCTCCCACTGCGACCATCACGTACTGGAAACTAACAGGTGAAGCGACCATTTGGGGCGAGCTCCACAGCCCCGGCCGGCGCCTGCTCAGGCAGCTGCCGCGGAGCCGGACGTGGGACGGCGCGGTGGCGCGCGGCTGGGACGCGCGGGGGCGTCAGCAGGCCGGAAACGCCCCGCCCACGACGCAGGGAGGGGCGGGGCCACGGGCCTCTTCCGGCCGCGCGGCCTCCCGCCGGGGCTGCGGGGGCGAGGTTTTGCGCTGGTTGTCACGCTCCTCGCAGGGCGTTTCCCAAGGCAACGTGCGGAACCTGGAGCCCTAGGGCCGAGTTCTGTCACAGATGGTCGCCAAATGGCAGCGTTTTTCCGGCATTTGTTTGGGATTCCATTTGAAATTCTGTAATGGATCGTCGCCAAATGGCAACGGTTTCCTGGGATTTGTTTTCCCGTAGATTCGTTTGCCCAGATTTGGTATCATATAATACTGAGATTTCCTGTCCAGCACTGTGGATACTTCTCCGTTAATCCGAGTCTTCCCTCGTTGTTCAGCTGAAGTCTTAGAATCTTCTTGGTGGTTTGCACATTTCTTATTAGGTTTTTTCCTGCCAGTTTTTATTGCTGTTTTGGTTTGTTTGTTCTTCCTAATGGACTTTTATTGTACCCAGGATAATTTGGGTTTTGGTATGTGGATCTGTGTGGTCACTTCGCTGAACCTTTGTTTTCTAATAATTCTCTTGGATTTTGTAGGTAAGAATTCATCTGTAAATAACAATTTTGGCTTTTCCCAAGAATCCCACACAACACTGTTTACTAGCCTCAGGGCTTGCCTCCTTCTTTCCAGAAGTTACTTGGATTGCATCTTACCTTTCCCTTCATGATGTTTTCTGAAGGTTTCTGGCAGTTACCTTTTTAAAAAATTAACTGTACTTTTTTCTTTTTCTAGTTTACCAATTTGTTTTATTGTTTCTTAAAATCAGAAATGGGTATTTATTACCAAATACTTTCAGTATTAGTCTCACAGATGATCATATAGCTTTTCTCCATTACCCTGCTGTAATAAGACTACAATAATAGATTTTCTAATGTTGAGCCGTCCTTTCAGTCCTGGTATGTATTCTTCCAATATGTTGCTGGATGAAAATTGCTGTGTATTTCATATAGGATTTTTGTGTCTAAGTGAATAAGGAAAGGGTTAAGGTATAGACTGGGAGAGATAGGGAGCCCCTGGGTGGGCTCTGAGACTATTCCTGGCAGGCCGAGGGTTAAGACAGAGTGAACAAAAAAGATAAGGAAAGAGACCACCTGGCCTCGGATGGTCGGGAGTATTTTTCTTTGGCGGCTACAGTGTGTTATAGAAAATGACCAAACCTCAAAGAATTAAGTCATCAGGGGTGTTATCAATAGTCCTTACTCAAACCAAGACAGCACAAGAATCTCAAGGCTACAAGCTTCCCAGTCAGTTCTCAATAAAAGATTGCCACTAAAAGCCCTCAGTGGCAACCCATTTGGGACCCCTTCACTCTAGAGAGCTGCTTCTCTCTTTTCTGTTCTCACCTTCACTTAATAAACTTTCACTTCACTTCACCCTTTTGTGTCCGAGAGATTCATTCTTCGATTCCATGAGACCCTGTGATCCTGTAACCTAAGTTCGTAAGTGAAATTGACTTACGGTTTTCTTTAGTTGTCCTTGTCCAGTTTTGATATTAGTGTATGGTAGGTCTCAAAATGACTCAGATTAATTTCTTTTTATGACCTGGAATAGACCTAGTGTATGAATGATCTATTCCTTAGGTTTGAAAAACTCATCTTCAGAGCTATCTGAGTGTGGTGCCTTTTTGAGAGATAAATATATGTTTTTCCTAGAAAAGTATCAATTTCATTTACATTTTCAAATTTTTTGGTATTAAATTGTCTCTGTCATAAGCACGCTGTGAAGGCACACACAGGAGTGTGTCTTTCCACTGTGTCGGCTTGATTCCGTCATAAACCAAGGTTAACATAATTATAAAGCAGGTTCAGGATTCCAAATTCAATGACATTTCACCGGTGGTTAACTTGGCTTCTTCCATGGCATGCAAAGCAGAACACAGGTCACCCAGCAAACAAGATAACACAGGGGCTAGGAAGTTAAAAATCCAAATGCAAAGTCTGTCTGGGTGCGCAGTTGAGATGAGGCCTCAGTCAGGCTTAAGTCAGTCAGCTCTTGGCACTTGCATCTTACTATGTTCAAGCAGTGAAGGGTCTCAGCTCTGTTCGGAGACCAGTGGGGCAGAGCCTTCAGCGGCGGAGGCCTTTTCTAAGTGATCAGACATGGAGGGGTCAGTGTCTGGAGAATCTGACAGTTTGCTGCAAAAATCCTCCCCTTTTTAAAGGGATTGAATCGGTGTTGGGCCCCTGCAGACCTGCTCTGCCTCTGCTTGGGATCAGCTCTGGGGCGTCGTCAGCTGGTGCTGGTCTCTGCGATAATGTCTCGTGGCTGCAGTGCCCTTAAATGCTGGCGTCCTTGCTTGACGCAGGCCCCTGCTGGACGTGAGAGACTCCATCTTGCTCTCCACACTCTGATATTAACTTTTTTTTTTAATCTCATATTGTTCTTGTTCATATATATTCTTTTGGAGTCCTTTTTCTTGATCAGATTTATTGAACCACTTTCTGATTTTTTATTAATTTTGATTGATTTTGTTATTGATAACCTTTATCAATAACAATTGATATATAACGAAAGATAACTCTTTCGTTAATGTATGCCTTCATTAATTTCTTCCTTATTTTTTTTTAAAGATTTTATTTATTTATTTGACAGAGAGAGAGAGCACGGAGCAGCAGAGGGAGTAGCAGAGGGAGAGGGACAAGGACTCCTTGCTGAGCGGGGAGCCAGATGTGGGCTCCATCCCAGGACTTGGAGATCGTGACCTGATGCAAAGGCAGATGCTTAACCGACTGAACCACCCAGGCGTCCCACAGCTGTCTTACTTTTCAAAGCCAAACAAACAGTTAGCTGGCCACGTACTGGTCCTTGCCTGCCCCCACTATCCAAAAGTTCACCTAATGCCACTTTGTTTTTATGAAAGACCTACGTCAGTACCTGTTTTCACTAACCGAAAGAAGTCAAAGAGGATTTTTGCTTTTTACGAAATGGTAACCTCTTCTTTGCTTTACACCCCTTCAGCCTATGAAAGGTTTCATAGGATTGCTCTACTTTCCCATAGTGGGGGAAACCTATATTTTCCTATTTCAAAACCTCCATTATTAGCTCCCTATTACTGACAAACATTAGTTCAAACTTGGGCCCTTAAATCCTTTCTGAAACAAGGCAGAATATGAATGAATAAAAAAAATAATTGAATGTACAGTATCTGCAACTTCTTAGCTTACATGGAAGGCCATTGCTATGTGGATCCAGCATACCAGTCTCCAGCTCTCCCCGTCTCACACTCAGGACCCTCACCACCCCAAAACCCCCGTTCCTTGAACCATCAGCCTCATGCCTCCCTGTCTTTCCTCTTCTGGAACACCCTCTTTCCACAACATTTAGGCTGACGAATCTTCTCTTCCTTCAAAGCGAAGCTCGGATGTGCTCCCTTGAAGAGCCTCCCCCAACCCCCACGGAGGAAATCGCTGCAGCCTCTGTACCCCAGACTGAGCCACAGCATGTCCCAGGGCACAGCAACTTATCTATTTGCATTTTCGTGAGTTCTTCAAGGGCAGAAGCCGTGTCCTCCTCCACTCAGAGCCCCTAGCAACTAACCTCATGCCTGACATACGGCAGGTGTTTGTTGAACGAATGAATGAATGGACGGATGAAGCAAGTGGTACAGAAAGAACTTGGGAATGGTTACCAGGCAGCGTGCCCTCTACCAAAGTTACAGTTTAACTGGTCTTCCCAATTTTCTCCAGGATCTGACCTTGAAACTCACACACCTCCTTTAATACGGAACCAGACATCAGAAAATGATTGGCAGTAGTAGAATTTGGCTCCCTCTCTTCCTGCCATGGGCCTGCGAAGTCTGATCCTCTGAGAGGTTCTAACAAAATAATTAACTTTTAGAATAATTACTCCACAGCATCAGCATTTATTGAGGTCCATTATGAATATTCCAGGGACTGTGGCAGGCATTCGCACACACAATTTCACTTGATAATCCCAACTCAGTGAGATAAAGAGGGATGTATGCATTTAGCAGGCTGTATAGCTTCTCAGGGGCAGGAGTTAAGACTTACTGCAAAATATATAAAAGCCATAATGCCTAGAACAGATAGTCAACTGTTGTTTCAAAGCAACACTAGGCTAATTAAAAAACATCAAACGCCTACTCGTCACCTACCAGGTGCCAAATACTAACCAGAAGGTGTGTTAAGTTAGGCTGCAGAGAGGCTGTAGGGTATTTCATGCGGAGCACTGGACTGAGAATCAGGGGACATGGGTTTTAGATTCAATTCTGCCACTTACAAGTTACAAACACATCAAAATTTCTTTGAGCTTAGTCACTTCATCTGTTGAATGAGACAGTTGGACCCAAAGACCTCAAAGGCACCTTCCAGTTCTAATGTTCTATAATCCTATTGAGTCTGCCTGGCTGCTTAGTAGAAAAACATCTACCTCCAGCCGACTTGTACTGAAACAGAGGAGAATGTAAAAATACCAACAGTTACCAATCCCAGCAATTGTGCTTCCTTCCGTTACGTGTGAACCCTTGAATATTTACCTGTTCTTCTAATTGGAAGTTCTTTTCTAAAACCAGAAGCATGTGGTCCCGTAAGGCTGAATGCTCATGCTCCTGCAGGTTCCCCCGTTTATCCTTCAATAGGAAGACGAAAGGAAGTCAGGTTGTTGAAAGGCTCCAAAAATGAAGGTGGTGGTGGGATATTCTGCTAACGCAGACTGTGACAACTTTGCTTACTTGTCTAAAGGTGGGTTGCAGGAAAAAATAGCCCCTCCTGGTCCCTTTTCCAGCTCCAGGATTCTAAGGTGCCCATGAGACAATTTTAAATTTACAGAAACAGAGAATCAAGCCACTGTCAAAATTCTCAAAAGCAGATTTCCTTCTGTGTGCTGGAAATCTAGGACTGTGGGTTAAGTGTAGTTATCATCTCTCAACTAGTCCCACATAAAATCTATCTCCTTGGTGGGTTAGCTTCAGATCAGTGTCAAGCCTAGGTGAGTTCTCTCTCCTACCAAGCACACATTTCCATGCTGCCTTCTACCAAAGGCCAAAGGTACGCAACCTGATAGTAATTTCAGCCCACACAAATTTGTTGCCCTCAAAATCAAGCAATATGTTTGCAAGAATAAAGGGTAACTTCTTCCCTAATCATTAAAATACTGAATTGCAAACTGCCTCTATTACTAGTAAAAGCAAATGTTAGGTGTTCTGGGTGATTCCATGGACCTAAGTGTGCATTAACCATCAATTTCCCTCCAGTTTAGGAATGGCCCCTCTTCCAGAGAACAAATCTCATCCTCAGCTTTGGTACTGAGGTGAGTTCTAGAGGACAGCCCAAATGGGAGTTTAGGCCTAATTGTAAAGAAGATTTCTCTCAGAGCTGGAAAGCAATTCTGTATTTCGTGCACTGAAAAGGTAAACCCTATCTGTTTTGCAGCCAAGACAATCACTGGTTTGATATATGAAAATGTATGGACTCTTCACTGATTTTTTTTTTTTTAGATTTTATTTATTTATTTGAGAGAGAGAGCACATGAGAGGGGGGAGGGTCAGAGGGAGAAGCAGACTCCCTGCCGAGCAGGGAGCCCCATGCGGGACTCAATCCAGGCACTCCAGGATCATGACCTGAGCCGAAGGCAGTCGCTTAACCAACTGAGCCACCCAGGCACCCTCTTCACTAATTTTTTTTAAAAAGGCTTCTCCCAATATACATTTTCTTCCAATAGGTTTTTAAAATAAGAGAAATGTATGCTTATGTCAAATAATACAGCAAGATAGAGAATGAAAAGCAAAAGGCTCCTTCTCTCCATCACCACCCCCAATTCCCTAGTCTCTCACTCACCAGAGTCAGCGACGATATATACACATTTTTAACTCAATGAGATCATAACCATATTCAATTTTTTAAAATATGTACCTTATTCTTTTATCAAATGCATGCCATTCCCAAATACAAATATATACACTTACATAGTCAGCACTTTAGTGATGGGCTTACAGGTTTTTAGTTTTTTGTTTTCTTTTGCTATATAAACATCTTTGTGTGAGTGTGTTTGTGTATGTGTGTAATCATTGCATACTTATGAAAGAGTATCTATGAGAAATTCCTAGCAATAGAATTATAAGGTCAATGTGTGGGTTCACTTTTTTTTTTTAAATAAAGAACCTTTTATTTTACTTAATTTTTTAAAACACTAAGCTGTATGCCCAACATGGGGCTTGAACTCACAACCCTGAGATCAAGATCTGACTGAGCCAGCCAAGCACCCCTCAACTTTTCATAGATAATAACCAAACTGCCCTCATAAAAAGTTATATATTATAAATTGTATTAATCTTTGTCAATTTGATGGTGAAAGTTTTATTTCTTGCTATAATTTACATTTATTTAGGAGTGAGATGGAGTGTCTTTTTTTTACATCTATTAGTCAATTGAATTTTTTCTGGAACTACTCATATATTCCTTTGCCGATTTTTCTATTAAGTTGGAGAAGCTATTTACATGTAACAATTTTTGTATATTAAGGAAAATACCCTTTTTGTCTTGTCATATGTTGGAGATATTTACTTCCAGTTTGTGGCTTGCCATTTGACTTTATTTATGGTATTTTAAAAAATTGTATAAAAGTTTCAAATATTTATGGTTAAACATCAAAATTATAGCTTCTGGTTTTGTGTTAGTCATCTAAGAAAGATCTTTACTTCAAGAATAAAAAAAATTCACTCACCTTTTCTTCTAGTATTTTTATGATTTTTTAAAATAAACTTTTTATTTGGAGTAATTTTAGATGTACACAAAGTGTGAAATAATATAGTGCATGATATATCTTAATGCCTAAAACTTTGATCCATCTGGAATATGTTAAAATGAGGTAGGAATCAAACTTTTTTTTAAATTTATTTTATACAATTTATTGAATAATATTTTTAAAGGTCTTTAATAGGTAATAAAATACACTTTAAAACATGATTTCAAATCAATTCTATTTCAGAATACTTGGTGATAGACCGGGGGTACCAGAAAACCAAGATTTATAATCATCAGAATTATAATCATCAGAAGAATGACTCCAGAAAGTCTCAAACTCTGGTAGAGGCAATGGAATCCAAATTAGAAAAATTACCATGATGGTTAATTTTTATGTGTCAGCTTGGCTGGCTATGGTGCCCAGTTGTTTGGTCAAAACTAATCTAAGGGGCACCTGGGTGGCTCAGTCGGTTGAGCGGCTGCCTTCAGCTCAGGTCATGATCCCTGGGTCCTGGGATCAAGCCCCACATCAGGCTCCCTGCTCAGTGGGGAGCCTGCTTCTCCCTCTCCCACTCCCCCTGCTTGTGTTCCCTCTCTCACTGTCTCTCTCTGTCAAATAAATAAATAAAAATATATAAAAAACCCAAACAATCTAGATGTTACCATGAAGGTATTTTGTAGATGTGATAAACATTTACGATCAGTTGACTTTAAGTAAAGCAGATTACTCCCCATAATGCTGTAGGGCCACATTCAACCAGTTGAAGGCCTTATGAGCAAAAAATAAGGTCTCCTGAAGAAGAAGCACTTCTCCTCAAGACTATCAGTAGAAACTCCAGCCTACTGGTCTGCCCTGCAAATAATCTGACTTGCCAGCCCCCTCAATCATATAAGCTAATTTCTTAAAATAAATTTCTATCTATATATCTATATGTAGATATGTACCTCCTATTGATTCTGCCTCTCTGGAGAACCCTGACTAATATAGTGTATATAGTGTATTTAGTGTATAGTGTATATAGTGTATTTATATACACTGCCAGTCTTAAAGTTCTTCCAAAGTGAATGTCCTTCTGCATCCTGAATGGAATCAAAGAGTAAAATAAACCTGCCAAATAAATTACACAGTAGAATGTAGAGGCAGAAACAAAAAGGCATCCCATACCTTTACAGTACATCCATAGTGCTTAAAAGGACAGTCTCGTTCAGCTTCAGGACACACAGCGAGGTGTTCATCCACCTACAAAAGGGACACCTCATGCTACCGAAATTCATCACCAATTCTCCAGCTGCCTGAGAGAACTACAGCATGCAGGGAACCCCAAGGTGGCCTGGGAAGGAGGGAGGAAACAGAAGGGGAAAAGCCACGCTGAGGCCTGGCGGAGGGAGAGCTACGGTATAAATGGAGAACTCTCAGGGAAAAGGGAAGGGGACACAGAGACGTGGTTATCATGGGTGTGCTTTAAATCTTGGGCCTCAGCCTGTGGGATTTGATCAAACACACACCACAGTGGTTAACTAAAACTTTATCTTACATAAAATCTACTAAGAGATTCATTTACAGTTACCTCAGTTCTTGGAATAATCTGCAAACACCTGTTAGGACAAGATACTGGGTACTCAGGACACAAGTTTTCTTCATGATTCTGAAACAGAGAAAGGATGATGAAACACAGCCAATCCTTGCTTCCCAGGGTTCCCTTCTACAGCCTCAGAGTGTTTATGCATATGTCTCTGGGGATCTTATGTGGCTTACCCTCTACAGGAAGGTACAGCCTAGTTCCAAAAAGGACTAAAGATGGCCGCCTCCTTCCCATGAATTCAATTCAGTTTTCCAATTATTCCAAAAGAAGGTCAGAGGGCAGAGGACTCACGGAGGGCAGACTATGGGAGTCATCAGTATGTCTCCTTCAGTACATGTAAAAGGTACCCATGATCTCCTTCTCTGCCTACATCCTGCCACTCCAGTCAGATCAGAGCCCCCTGAGGACATAGTATCGTCACCTCCTTGTGACCCTGCACCCAGCAGCGCTCCTTGCACACTCACACTCAGTAGTGCTCAAACAATCCTTCTGCCAATGATAAATGAGTAGAGTCCTACTCTAGAGTCCACCAAGAAGACTTTTTGCTTTTTACAGAACTCTCAGAAAATTCTTTAGACCTATTTCTGTACAAAAATAAATTCAGTAATGTCCCGATTCACTGTGACCGCTCAGGTAGAATTTAGTCCCATAAAGACGATTCGTTTTTCTTTCTTTTTACCTGTAGATAGATTACTACCACATCTTTTTTGCAATAAAGGCATTTTTCCTCTCGAAAATGGCAATGTGCACTCAAATGTTCTTTCAGATCTTTCCGAAGGACTTGTTCCTGACAGTTCTCATTAGAACACTGCACAGCTTGAAATAGGCACTGTTGGAGGTGGTCCTGCAACAGAAAAAACAGGCCAGTGGGCCGCACTGACCGGGGCGGGGGGACAGGGGGCCAGCTGGAAGCCTGGAGGGAGGGAGGACACGGGGGGCAGCTGGGCAGACCAAGGCCGTGCCAGCCTTGTTTGATAGGAGTTGGGAGGATAGGGAAGATGGCTGGAGAAGGAAGCATGTTGAGTCTACTTCAGATTATCTATTAGCTCAGATTCTCAGGTTAGTTCCTGAATATTTTCCTTAGGCTTGCTGAGTGATTTACCCATTCTCCAAAGACATTTTTAATTTCTTTTTGCACCCCCGGCACCAAGTACTAATCTCTGCACAGCGGATGGCAAAAGCCAGGATGGAGGGGAAAGACGGAAGAAGAGCAGGGCATGTCCTAAGTGCAGGAAGGAAGGGAAAGGATGCAAGAGAGTAATGGGGAGAGGGAGTGGGAGCTGTTCCAGAAGTGGTCAAGAAAAGCAGACAGAAGAAATACAGGATCCCAGGCCCAAGAGAAGCTGGGAATGGTCAGGCTGTGGTCAGAAAATGTTCTCCACCAGAATATGAGATAACGATGACATGGACATTACTCGTTCCAGTATTCTTCATGGTAGAGATTTTTTTAAAGCAGGAGGCATACCTTAATAAAACCTCTGGATCACAGCAAGTTATTGTGATGGTCCTGTCCCCTGCGAGATCTCCTAAAACACAGCTGGCCTGTTACTTGTTTTTGTAAATAAGGTTTTTCTGGAGAACAGCCACCCATCTACTTGTTTACATAC